CCCCCCCCCCGCCTGCCGACCTCGCACACAGTGGTCGACTTCTTCAACCGTATCAACCTCATTTACGGCACTCTGGTGGACTTCTGCACCCCGAAGACCTGCCCTCGGATGACTGCCGGCTCGAAGTTCGAGTACTACTGGAAGGATGACCACCAGTACAAGCAGGCCACCTCCGTGTCGACTCCCCTCTACGTGGACCTCCTGATGAAGTGGGTCGAGTCGCAGATCAACGACGAGAGCATCTTCCCGCCCGAGGTTGGCCGGCCCTTCCCGAAGAACTTCAAGGCCATTTGTGCCAACATCTTCCGCCGGCTGACGCGCGTGTTCTGCCATGTGTACATCCACCACTTTGAGATGATCCAGGAGATCGGTGCCGAGGCGCACATCAACGCCTGCTTCAAGCACTTCTATTACTTCACCGCCGAGTTCAAGCTCGTCGACGAGAAGGAGCTCCGGCCACTGGAGGACTTCATCAACTCCGTCATCAAGGAGTCCCCGCCGGCCCAATAGGCAGCCACCACGGCCGTACCCCCCCCCCCTGGCATCCACACCCTGTCTGTCCTGGCATATCTTGTGCATGGTCCTGTTTGCAGGTGACCATAATGCAAAGACAACATTCGCATGCGCATCCGCGTGGCCCCCTGCTCCCGCTCATCCTATTCCAGCTTCTTGTCGTGCTGTGTGAGCACACACCGCAGGGCATGGGGTTTGTGAGGGAGCACGGACACGGGGACCGGCTGCAAGGACATTCGCGCAAAGGCGATAGGCACACGGAGTGCATGCCCTCCCCGGGCCCCCATATCCCGTCGGCCAGAGTTCAGCCCCGGCATGCCTCCTCCTCCCACCCTTCACCTTGCGCGATAATGTCCCCATCCGCCCCCTATCACCTCACTTTTCCACCCACAAGCTGCCCCCTGGAGGACATGTGTGCAGGTGCATGTCCAAGAATACACCACTTCCTCGAAGACACTGTGGCTTGCTTCCCCTGCTTCTCGGGAGCTCGGCAGAGCCGTGCGCGGGAGAGCGCCCAAGCAGGAGCAGGTTTCTGGCGCTCTCAAACCCCGGGCTGCCACGCCAAGCGGGACCGAACATAACTCCAAGAAGAAAAGAAAAGCAAGGCGGCAGATCAAAGGCGTCTATACATACATACTGCTGCTTTGTGCCTCGGTGTGTGTTTTCTTTCTCCTGCCCCCCCCCTCTCTCTCTCTCTCTCTCCATCGCACGAGGCGCGCAGACCGGAGTGATGGCGATCGATGTCTCCCCCAGCACCGGGCGGTCTACCACTGAGAGGAGATGGAGAAACGCGCGGACGGCGGCTGGTCCATGTCCAACGAGTCCAGGCCAAAGGGCGCCTGCCCATCTGGCCCGTGCGAGTCAGCCGCTGCCAGCAACGGGCGCCGGTCGCCAGTTTGGTGGGAGGCCGGTGGAACCGGCGCCACGACAGCCATGTTCATGTCACTCTCGGATCCCTTCAGGGACAGATCATCGCCCGAATGGAAGGAGGGGTCCCTGGTCGAGGCCTCGGGCGCCGGGCCCGCCCAGGCGCCCAGGCCGCCACCGGCATTGCCGCCATACGGGCCGCCGCCGGCGCTGGCACCATAGGGGCCTCCGCTCGGGCCGCCGGCCCCGCCGACACTGGATCCGACCGAAGACCGGTGATCGGACAGCCCGTCGGTCCCGCTAGCCCGGATGGCCGCCTCGGCGGCGGCACCCAAGCGCGGGGCCTCCGGGAATCGCCGGTCCACGCATGCGCATACAACGATGTCGGCCCAAACATTGACCGCGACACGGAACCGCACCAGCAGCCAGTCAACCGGGACCACGAGCATCGCCGCCTCCGGCGGAGCGCCGGCAGCCACCACCACCAACGCCAGGGCAAAGGCCCCGGAGTCGGGAATACTGGCAGCAGCGAGACCGGACAGCGGGGCCGCGGCGATGGTGGCCAGCAGTTGGAGCGCACTCGGGGAACCCTCACTTCCGCAGACACTGGAGACGAAGACCGCCGCGATGGCGGAAGACAGGGCCATGGCATTCGGATGCAGCAGGCACCCGGCGCCACACACGAAACGGGCTGTTTCTTCGGCACATTGAGCGGGCCCGTTGGTACAGGCGGCGATCGAGTTCGGCAGGGTGCCGGCCGGGGAGGCGGTTCCGAGGGCCGTCAGCACGGCCGTCCGCGCGGGCCACATCAGCTTGAAGGCATTGACCCGGCCGAAGACCGATGCCAAGGCCGGCAGCAAGACCACCGAGTGGAGGATCAGCCCGGCGAACAGCACGCCCAAATAGGCCCCAAGGACGGTCATGTGTTCCGTGAGCACGGCACCATCCTGGTGTCCATCGGAAGGGCCACGGGCACCGCGGCCGGCACGCGGGTCAGCAAGGGAGGAGGAGGGGGGGGGGAGGGCAAACATTCGGGGAAAATGCGGCAGCGGCACATTCACGATCGCACCTCGGCAACTCGACCGGCGATCAGGGAAAAGATGCCCACCGGAGTGGCGACCAAGACCCAGCTGATGATATGGACAATGAGGTTACGCGTGGCCAGGAAGAGGTTCTTCAGGGCGTCACTTGGGATGGCGACAAGAGTGAGGGGGGGGGGGGGGGGATGCCACGTGTCGAGGGCAAGGTTAGCATCCAGTCCCTTGGGCCCGTGTCGGGGAAGGGGCGGAAGCGCGAGCGAGGGAATGCGAGAGACACACGTCAAATCACCCAGCTGGCCAATTCCAACGGCCATGGCCACCGAACACACAATCAAACCAAGACCATTCATCTGACGACAATGGGGCATATGTGTTAGTTTGTCTGTGTGCGCGCGCGCGCGTCTGGGCCAAGGGAGGAAAGAAACACCATGAATGGATGCGCCCAGAGGGGCAGACAACCGGCAATTAGCCGGAGGATGGGAAGGAAAGAAAAAAAAAACATACATTCAGAGCAGCCTCAACCATGTTGTCCGGGACCGAAGCCTCCAGGATGAAACGCAGCGCGTCGACCCCGGAGATGTCCCCTCCGTTCCAGTCATCGCCATTGCGGCTGCCACTGAGAGACCCGTCGTACTCGCATTGAGCCGAGGTATTGGTCAGGGTCAGAGCCCCGAGCACGGCCCCGAGGATGCCCGCGCAGACGGTTGTCAGTGCGAACCAGGCGGCCGTCGTGGCGGCGATGCTGCGCGCGCGCTTGCCCCGGGACCCGGGCTGGTACAGTTGCAGTTGGATAATGCTGCACACGACACCGATGACCACCATCGGCATGGACAGGGCACGCAGGGCCCGGGAGAAGACGATCCCCGGCGCGGCGAGGGTGAAAACTGCCACCTCGCGCCAGGAGCTCTCGGCCGGGATCAGCCAGTTGGCTGCCACCCCGGCCCCGATGCCCAGGACCGCCCCGAGGAGCGTCAGCGTCACCATGGTCGGGTGGCGCCAGAGATCGAGGCAACCGGCCTGCGCTCGGCGAGACACATCGTCGCCCAGCTCCAAGATTGACATGGCCAGGGACTTGCGCCCGCCGCCGCCGCCGCCGCCGCCGCCGAAGGATCCGGACGATCGCCGGCTCGCCGGCGGGGGGTGATCTTGGTCCGGGTCCGGCCAGTCGGCCGTCGATGCGGGCATCAGGGGAACTCGATGGTGCAGGTGCGCATGCTCACTCAGCGGGTGCCCGTGCCAATAAACATCCTCGGTGTTGAGGCCCACCTCGCCGCCACTGCTGTGGGTGTGCTCATCGAAGTGGTGGCCGGTCGCCTCGACCGGCATCATCTCGATCATCTCCGAGGCATGGTCTGCCCCGGCAGGACCCGATGCCGATCGATCAGTCGGGGAGAAATGCCCAGCCGCCCCGACATCAGCGAAGTAGCCCCCGGCGCTTGGGGGGAAAGTTTCCTCCTCGAGGGAGAAGTCAATCACCCCAGTGCCAGGGGCAGATGGGAGATCACCGGCCATAATAGAGACCGGAAGAGGGGAAACAGAAGAGGCAGAGAGGCGAGGGACAGGAAGGGAGAGAGAGAAGGAGAAAGAGAGAGAGAGAGGGGGGGATGAAGGGATGGCTGGATGGACGGCTGAGTCCAGGAAAGGCGCCTCCGACGGAGGGGGGGGTCGTTAAAAGGGGCCTCTCGGTCGAGTAAAACCCCCGGGGGTGGACCGGAGAGCAGGAGAGGCCCTTCGGCATGCCGCGCCCGAGGAGGGTGCAGAATAGACAGGAGGCAGGGAAAAGGCGCACAAACGGCCAGGCCAGGGGGGGAACCGAATGGGCACACTCTGGCAAGCTACATTCACCCATCCAGGTACTGGTGCGCTCGGCGGGAGGGCACCATGCCACATGTAATAACTGCGCCGTGAGAAGTCGCTGGGGGAGCGCGCGCAGCCACCTCGCACCCTGAGCGGGACCTGGGGGGGTGCAGGAAAGGGCCAGAGAGAGAGAGAGCGCGCGGGAGAGAGGGAGAGAGTAAGGTCGGCCTGGGTAGGGAGTCCCTCCTCCCCTCCAGCTGGATTGGTGAAGCCATCCCGCGCGGAGCATAAACTACCCTGTATGTGCGCCCCATGCCTGGGGGCGGGTGGGGGAGAAAAAGTGGCCCCGCGCTCGGGAAGGGGCCAGAGGCCGAGATCCTGATCGAGGTTCGAAGTGGATCACATTGCACGCATGTGATGGTCCCGTGTGACGAGCGTATAAACCAAATGTAGCAGAAACAATTAACACTGAAAATCCCGCCTCCATTGGCTGGAAAACCAAGGACCAATATCCGGGGGAGAGAGAGAGAGAGAGAGGGAGGGAGAACCACAGTCCGAGGAGAGCGGGGGAGGGGGTTACAGGGGAGTCGCGGGCAGGAGCTCGCCTCGGCTCGCCTACACATCGTGGATCGCCCCGACATGAGGCGGCTCCTGATCATCATCTTCCTCTTCATCATCATCACCATCATCATCATCCCTTTCTCCGTCCCGGTGTGTATAAGTGTGTGAGCTCACTAATTCTTGGCGCCGCGCCCTGTCCCTGGGGCCCGAGACAGACGCCGGGGGGCTATGGGGCGGGGATGTTCGGCGTTTTGTCCGCCATCCAACCGCTGGTGCCGAGACCGTTCCGGCCCGCCCCCGAACGCCGGCAATAATAACGGTGCAGGGGGGGGGGGGGGGGGGGGGGGGCGGTCTAGGGCGCGCTCTTGAACACCGGCGCCGGGACAGCCTGGGATCGGTGCTGGGGGACCGGTCTGCGCGCGCCGCATGCCTTGGCTGGGCGCTCTCACCCAGGACATGGCCCCGGCACGCCTCATGGGCGCCTTGCCATCCGGCCACTCGGACAGAAACCCGCCCAGCGCCCGCCCCCCTCGAGAGGGAGAGAGAGAGAGAGAGAGGAAGGGAGAGAAGAGGCGTATCATGCGCCCCGGGGCGCCTGCCACCCAGCTCAAGGCCCAGCGTTTGGCCAGGGGCGGGGGAGCTCGCCCGAGGCCAGCTGCCATGGTGTCCGCCGGGTCGTCTTCAACCAAGGGCCATCTCCAGGTCGCGATCCGACTCCCCGCACCCCGACCCCCGGACCTTGTACCAGGGCCGCTGTGACATGCAGACGGCCCTGGTGGCCTCCAACTCCGGGGCGGGGAAGCCACCTTGCCCGAACCATGCCCCAGGTATCGGGTCGAATTGGCCAGCGAGCCCTCGTACCTCCCCAGCGAGCTCGCCCCCGGCCCAACGCCGGATAGCCTTCGCCGCAGGGCTTCTCCCTGCGAGGGGGGGGGGGGCGGAGTCCCACCACCCGAGCCCCTCGAAGAGTGAACCATCGGCATCTGACGTGTCTGGCCGGCATCCTCGCAGACCGGGCCGGCCGGCCCGGGGAACAGGCTACCCCGCCCTCGGGGGGGGGGGGGAGGGGCTCCCCCGCCCTCTTGACGTTCACGGGTATCCGTTTGCGCGGGCGCGCAGTCGACGGCCTGGGCTGCCAGGGGGCCATACCTTGGCACCCTGGCCGAGTGCCCCGGGGGTTCTCCAGCCTCACGAGCGGCGTGCGCACACAAACATACCAGCACTTGCTGGGTGGCCAGCGGGCCGAGGGGCCGAAAAGGTGGCCCGCGTCCTCGAGAGCCGTCCGCGCCGGCCAGGGGCTGGCTCAGCCTGCCAAAAAGGGCCATGCTCAGGCTCCTGGCCACGCACTGCCAGCCCCTGGCCAGCGCGCAAACAGATCCGGGAGGCATTCCCCCCCCCCCCCCCGCAAGGAGAAGCTCAGACAAGCGAGGGGCCGCAAGGGGGACAGGCGGCAGGCGGGGGACCAAAGAAGGAGGCTGCCCCGAATGAACGGGAGGCACACGGGGCCCGGAGGGAGGGAGGGGGGGGGGGGGCGCCCAGGCAGTTGTGTCTAGAGTTACTAGTCCGGAGGGCGGGGCTCCCCGCCAGGCGAGCCGGCCACGGGAGGAAAAAGGGTTCGGAGGCCGCCCGCACAGAGGCACGGAGGCGGGAGAGGGCGGGCAGAGGGGGGGGGGGGGGGCACGCCCCCTCGTCCCAGCCTCGGTCGCAAGGGACCCACCCGGTTTCGAGGAGTTCTGCGCTCTGGCGGTTCCGCGGGCAAAAGGCCCCCTGCAGACCAGTCTTCGGGGCGCTCGCAGTCTGCGCCCGGTTCCCCCGTGCGGGGCCGAGGCGCATACCTCCCCCACCGGGGAGATGGAGGCCCCGCCCGGACGGGAGAGGGGCGGCCTCCCCGGCGCAGCCCCCCGCCAAGCGCCATACTCGCTCCTCTCGATCTTCCGCCCCCGGTGGGGGCAAAGAAGTTGGTCCCCCCTGTGCACCCCTCCCACCCACACACACACACACACACCCACACTCGCGCAGAGCAAGCCCGAGGACCGGAGCTGGGACCCTCGGCGCTCAGGCTGAGAGCACGCTGGCCTCCCTGGCGTGGCCTGCGCCTACGCCGATCCAGCCCGTCCTGGTCCAATCCGCCCGGCCGCCTTGAAAGAAGCGGGATGTCATGTCACGCGCCCCGGGGCCCCGGTGTGTGCTCGGGCGCCGGAAGCCGGACCCCGGACCCCGGCGCCCGTGGCAGGAAGAAGGCCGGCCGGGTCTTCGCCGGGTCTTGGCGGGCAGCGCTTCGTAGAAGCCCCGGCTCCTCG